TACTTGGGTCTCAAACTGTCAACCTGTAGTACAGGTGGTTATCCATGGTGAAATAAGTAGGGAATGAAGTCTAGGAAGGAGAAGAGCTTCTTGGCTAGAGAATGGTTTGAATGCCCTGACATAGCATCACTCCAGAGTATTGTGGGAACCTACGATGGTGACTTCAATGCTTGTTTCACATCACACAGTTATAGTAGTTTGATGGCACTTTAATTGCTACAGCTGCTTCCTATGGAATCTTGGGATTTGTAATTTGGAGACCCAGCATGGCATAGTGGTTTGAGAGTTGGACTAGGACTCTAGAGTCCAGGGTTTGAGTCCCAGCTTGGCCATGGAAACCTTTTGGGTGACCTTGGGCAAGTCACATGCTCTCAGCCTCAGGGGAAAGCAATGGCAAATCTCTTCTGAACAGATCTTGCCAAGAAAACCCCATGATAGGTTTGCCTTAGAATCACCATAAGTCAGAAACAATTTGAAGGCATACAACAACAACTAACAAAAACAATGGAGCACTTAGAGAGATGTGAGACAGAGATTAAAATCCCTGCCCGGCCATGGAACTCCATGGGTGACCTTGGGTAAGTTACACTTTATAAGCCATAGAGAAGAAGTCAATGGCAAACTTCCTCTGATTGGAGACCCATGTGTGTTGTGTGCCTTCAAGTCATTTCTAACTTACAGAGACCTTAGGGTGACTCTACCATGGGGTTTTCTTGGTAAGATTTGTTCAGAGGGAGTTTGCCATTGCATTCCCCTGAGGCTGAGAGCATGTAACTTGCCCAGTGGGTTTCATGGCTGAGCTGAGGTCCATATATTCTGTTTTAAATTCACTGGCAGAAAGATGGGAGCTAAACATAGCTTATTAAATAAAATAAGTCCCATTAAACCTGCAAAACTCATTTGAACCAGGGACTACAGCAGGCCACAAATAATAAATTTACTACGCACAATTATAGATCTTCAAGTCACCTTCAAAGTCTCTGAAATCATACCTAGTTGAGATCAACATAGGAAAACTTGCATGGCTCTGTCCCACAGCACCTGTTTAATCCGTGGGGTGGTGGTAGACTCGATCTCCATATTTATTAATTTCAGTGCAATTTCCACCATAAGATTATAATTGGAAGACCCCAAAATGAAACATTTAATCCACAAAGACAGAGCAAGATCTACAATTCCAGGTGTCTCTCTCCCATGTTATATAGTGAGCCAATATTCTCTGCCAGATTTCTATGGCTCTAGAAAGAAATTTTAAATTTACATTTTAAAAATAATGGTTATGCATTGACATTAAAATGCTTCTTGTAACACATAGGGCATTTTTGTAAGTATGTATAATGAATGGCTTTAGAAATATGAAATTATGTAATTCTTCTCAGTCACTCTTCACTATGAGCCTCTCACTCATTTAGTAACACACACACATACGCAACGGAGGGAGAGAGGTCTAAGGCCATGGTGGGCCAGCTTTTGAAACAGAGACATCTCAAGTCCAAAAATTTGCATGTGTACTGCTGCCGTACACAATTTGGCAGATGGCAAGTCTCAGACAATAGACTTCATGTCAAAAACTGGTGGTCTGGAATAAAAGGGATACAACAAGCCATATGTTACACACTCGAAACAAGGAAAGGGAATTTTTATTTAAGTCCTAGTTCTAGATAAACATGATGCATTTAAAATGCCATTTAAGAAATCATTGATCAGGGACATTCTAGTACTGTAGCAAAATTGTTGTGGGTGGTTTAGAGAAGAAAGGGGATGAATTACTAGCATTGACCCATTGAATCAATTGGGTTTTCCTATGCACTGAGTTACCGTTCAACAATTGAGTCTATAAGTATACCCTACTTGGGACTAACCAGGATTCTGACTAATTATAGATTTTATAATTACATATTTTAGATTTAATAAATAATTTAATTTAATAAGGCAATTAATTTAATTGAACTGAATAGTTTAAAATATATACAGATCTACAGATTCTTTATCCACATATTCAAGCATCCACAGCTTGGAAATATTAAATACTTTATATATTCCCAAAAGCAAAACTTGATTTTACCATTTTATATAAGGGACAGCATTTTACTACACCATTGTATTTAACGAGACCTGAGCATCCACAGATTTTGTTACCTATGAAAGGTCCTAGAACCAACCCCTAGTGGATACCAAGGGCCCATTGTATATATAATCACTACTAGCAATGAGAACTTTAGCCAGAATACTGTATAGAGGCTCCCACCCTCAAGAAGCCCCATGGAAATAATTACTGATCTAAGCCCAAATGCTAGTCTCAGCTAGAATGGCCCCACTGAGAATCAGTTGCTGAGTGTTAAGTCAACAATTTTGCAAATTAAGTTGATTTAATGGGGCTACTCTATTTGGGACTAGCAGTTGGATTTAGGATCCTCTTGGCTCTTGACTAGTTTGTTCCAGTTTGGGTGAGGAGCCTCAATGCTGTTGGAATCCAAGATATGCCACTGCCATTAAAAAAATGCATCAGTGAAACACCTCACCTCCCCATCAGTAACAGTAGAGTACTGCTATAGCACTCACATTTCTCTGGCAAAGATTTACAGTTCGCCCTCCATATCCATGGAATCTTCATCCACTGGTTTAACCAGCCAGGGATTGGGAAAAAATTAAAACCCCAAAAGGCAAACCTTGATTTTGTCACTTTATATAAGGGACACCATTTTACTACACCATTGTATATAATGGATCTTGAGCATCCATGGATTTTGGTATATCCACAGTGGGTCCTGGAACCAAATGCCAGTGGATACCAAGGGCCCACTATATTGGCAAAATTGCTTTTAGAAAACCCTAATCCAGGGGTAGGAAACCTTTCCCCTTTAAGGGCTGAGGGACTTCAGCTCCCAGAAGCCTCAGCCATGTTGGCCAATAGCTCCTGGGATTCTGGGAGCTGAAGTCCCTCGGCCCTTAAAGGGGAAAGGTTGCCTACCCCTACCCTAATCATTCCAGAGTCATGTCCCTCTTGCACTCACAGAATCCATTTCATTACTCTTTACCAAGAAGAAGAATGTGAAACCACAGAACAGGTATGAGCAGGGGTATAACTATAGGTAGGGGCAAAATTCAAGCATGGCACTCTAAATATAAATTCTGTCCCTCCAATTAAAATTTCTCTCTGGTCCTACTATCATTGCAGACAGTGGCATCACTAGGGTTGGTGTCATCCCGTGCGAATGCTCGGAAAGGGATGCCGGGGCAGGGGGATGGATGGTGGTGGACTGCCACCCTGCCTTCCACTCCCCTTCCACTGCCTTGCCCACCTGCACCTCAGCTGGCTGCCAGCCCCTCACCCAGATAGACCCAGAAAGGGCTGCCAGGGGGCAACTGGGCAGTCAAGCAAGCAAAGCAGCAGGAAGGGATGGAAGGGAGGGTGTGATTTCTCATTTGGGCTTCTCCACTTGCCTTGACTCCTTCAATCAGCAGAGAAGCCAGAATGGGTATTTGCACACCCCTTCTTCTGTAGCCTCCTGGTAGCCTGTTCCAGGTCTGGTGCAGCTGCCAACCCGCAGTCATGCCAGACCCAGGACAGAAGTATTGAACCTCTACCAGTGGCTGCCAGTGCTACGGCCTTCCAGGTCTGGCATTCGTATCTTCTTCTACGATCTATAGTGAATCTATTGGAAGTCCCAGAGGATTCCTGTTGCTATGTGCCCAGCTACAGTAACTTAGCTGGATGCCTCTTCATTGCACTTGCCTCTGTGGGCCAGTACATAGCCATGTTGAGATGGCTGCAGGAGCTTAAAGCTGGTAGTTGGGAGAGGTGTGGGGAAGATGTGTCACAGTCCTACATGTGCAGAAATTTGTTCTAGTACAGGATCTAGTTACTTGAGCTACTTGTCATATGAGTGGGAATTTTTATTGCCATTGTTTATTTTGCAACCAAAAAAAAAATGGTGAACAGATTTTTGAAGAAGAGCAGCAAGGCTGATACACAGTCGGTGTCGTATGTATGCATAAGATCCCATACGGAAGCAGCTGGATATTTTTGTCTGATGCAAAATGTCCCCATTCAGGTCAAAGTTGAAGAAGCAGAGTTGGGTTTACATTGCCAGAATGGATAAAGATGTCAATTTTGTTATGCATCCTATTGCACATTTTTCTGTCTTTCTTCAATTGTCTGACATTGCCCTTCAGCATAGCACCATTAATGCAAAACCTCACATGTGGAATTTTACTCTACACAAGTTTGATTCTGGATCTTGGTCAAAAGATTGCAACAATTAGCTTTCATATCAAGGCTGAGATCCAATAGTAGGATTGTGGTGCTTAAAGCTCCATCAACATGCTCATGCTAGGTTATTGCATATGCCCCCAGCATAAAGCAACATGACGGTGCAGGTGATGCTTGCATGGGAGAGGCCCAGGCAGTGTCTGGCTGCAGTTATAAAGTGGGAGGAAAGGACCAGCCACAGTTCTCCCAGATCTCTAGCAAGTATGCTGGATGCATTCTTGTATGCACTGGAGTTCTGGGGAAATGACAGCTGCTGCTGCTTCTTATTGATTTTTAAAATCTACAAAAACAAATACACAACAACAAACAAACAAAACAAGAATGTACATACATAAAAATCCTAAAAATGTGTGACTTTCATTTGGGTAATCACTTGACTCATAGAAGAGTTTTCATCTCAGAACTTGTTGAATCTTGCTTTTCATCTGCGGCCAAATAATATTTAACACTTCTAGTGTGTATTTGAAACTTAGTCTGCCATTATTCAAAAGACAGAAAATGTTGCTCGTTGAAGATCACTCCTTTGTTGCAAGAACAATTGTTTATAGTCTGTTTTATTTCTCAATAATGCTAAATTTCTTCATTGATGGGCATTAACTTCTTGTTTGAAAATGACAGCATTTCATTTCACCTGGCTGCCCAACTGCAGGTGGGTGCTGCTCGGGTGCCCAACACCTTTCCCCAGTCACTTACTGGCCATGAGAGTGCACTCCAGCACTTTTAAGCTTCAGTTTCACTGGGAAGAGCTGCGCAAGAGGATATGGGTACTTCCTTTTGCAACATCCCCTGAAGTACCTATATTAATTTATTACATCAGCATATATCAGCTCCAGGATTCTGGCCTAAAAGTACAACCAAAGACTGTCATTTCAGATTTCAGCAAATGTTTATGGGCGGTGGAGAGGTGAGAAACTAAGCTGTTGTCAAGTTTCCTACTAATCATTTTAAACATTTAAGACACAATTAAGCAAATGAATTTGAGCCTTTGGAATGTATGACCTCCGTACATCCTAGGCCTAGTCACTTCTAACCATAGTTATTCAGGGTGTAACCCTGCAA